AAAAACAGTTTAAGAAGAGACTGTTTGCCTGAAGTTCACCTTTCATATTATACCTGCAACTTTACAGATGCAGATTAATAGTCTATCAGTAGATTCTAACCCCTACTCTTTTTTTCCTAGAAAAGTAATTCAATGGTCTGGTTAACCAAGAGTTAACAAAAATTGTTTTTGTGATCAAGAATTATCAGTATGTTCATTCATGTGTACAAAAAAACCCAAATTAGTTATTGACATGATTATTTGTCAAGGATCTTTTTTATTATGTGTTCAGTAGTGCCGTGTAATGAATTTAATCACATTGCTAATTGCAGCTGGAGTCTTCTACAGATGCACATAATTTAGGGACTAAAATAATTCAAAGACTAAAGGAATAATTATAGTAAAGAGTAATTAGGTTTTGGCACACCAGAATAACATAAATGGGAGACACGAAAAACATGTAATACAGTGCAATTGCTGTATTTACAAAAGGTTATATCCAGGGCAGACGTACAGCTGGTTTAACTAACCACAAGACTCTGATCTTGACTTGCTGTTCCTATGAGCTCCTATGACACAATTTAATGAAATGGTTTATTTATATTTTACCCATGTGCTTTGTAGCTGCCCTCAACTTGTTGGCTTCATTCACACCACCGTGCATACGTGCGTATTGTACCATTATGCAAATAAATGGCTCCATACACATAGCTGCGTATGGAGCCGTATATTTGCGTAGAGTAAAAATGCGCGAAAACAGAATGGAACCGAGATGCGTCCGGGCAGCGTATTTCTGCATATTTTATGCGCATACGCATGTTCGCACGTGTATACGGGCGTATGTGCGTACAGTTCATTAAAATTTCTATTAGGAATGATGCATTCTGGGAATGCAAATAGTGCACGCATACACGTACATACGCTCGTATATACGCGCATAGACGCGTATTTACGCAATATACAATTTTGCTCTTGCGTTGTGTGTGAATGAGGCCTTAACAAGCACTCCTGGGAGAAGTAGATTTTACAGCACACAATCTTTTCAACCTACAGAATGGTCAAGAGACCATTATTGTATAACTAAGATGGCATGTTCTTCTGATAAAAAAACATATACCGTGTTTCCCCGAAAATAAGACAGTGTCTTATTTTCTTTTTTGCACGAAAAAAGACACTAGGTCTTATTTTCGGGGGATGTCTTACCTGGCTGGGGGAGGACTGGACGTCCCAGAAGGCGGCGTGTGGTTGCCGGTCCCGGTGTGATGTTATGCCGGTTCCATCGGGCGTGTGGGCGGGAGCTGCGGCTGGCGGGAGTGTGGGCGGG